TTTATTAATTTGTTAATCCTATAAAGTAGTGTAACGACAACGTTACACGCTTTTGCACCGATAAATTAGGAGATGACCTTAGATTAACACAGTAAATACATATGATGTTCGGCAACAGTATCGAGTATATAACCAGAAATAGAGACGAAATATGGGCCGTATATTCCTGGTAACACATTTCACTCGTTTGCACTGAAATATAGACAGACCAATTACTGACCTGTGTGTACGTCTCCGTATATTCCGAAAAATATTCTGTGTTTATTGTAATAAAGATAATATCTCTAACAATGCCGTGCTGTTCTATTCGGTGGTGTTGGAAAAACAGCAAAATATCTAATTACAAAACAAACGGAATCACATTTAATCGATAATTAAATATAAAATTTTGGAATTTTCGTCTATTATAGCAAAGCTCAAGTTAACTGGTCGATTTGAAGTGAAACAGTTGGCGACACCCGTCAATTGTTTCGAACTCGGGCTGGCCAATCGGAGCGCAGTTGTCACAGTAATGATATGGCTGAATAGTTTTCAAACAAATTAAATGACATTTCGTCTCTATTTCTGGTTATATACTCGATGGGCAACACCGAGGTCGCTGCTGTACCTGTCGCGACTACATTACTCCACGAAGTCTGAGGAGATAGTGGAGTACATCAATCTAAAAGCCAAATACACCCTGAGGGTCGAGCGGTCGGAGTCCCGCCACAACGTAAATTTTAATTCGTTTGTGGAGAGACTGCCGACTGAACATCTATCGACCTTCATGAAGAAAGAGTTTTGGCCGAAGGGTGTCGTATATCGGCGATTCCGCGGCCGGTTACTTGACACCAGATTGCGCCACACGTCACCGACAAGTGCAATACGTGTAGATTAGTTGATAGTTTATTGTCATGTTATATTGTACGTATGTTAGTCCTTAAAGTTTATATATATATATATATATATATACAATAAACCTTTCAAATAGGGTATTGCTGCGTTTATACATAAAATCAAATATTACCATATACACACAGTTATCATATAATACACACACTCTCACGCACACGCGCGCACACACACACATACACACACACAAATACACACACAAACACAAACACACCTTTTGTAGTGAGATAATACTAATTAGCATCTTTTTTCTTTTTCATTTTTGTTTTATTGTATTAAGTTCTTTGATGATGTATGTTTTAGTTAAGGAAGAGCGAGACCTCCTGACACAAGTATTTAATTACTTAATAGGATGGTCTCAACCTCCGTTTTGTTATGCCACTTGAACTTCAATAAACACTTTTTATTTTTATTTTTTTTATATAAGCGTCATGTGGCCGGAAATAAATGTCTAAATAAAATAAATAACACAATAAATACACACACAAACATTAAGCACAATTAATAATACACTAACGGTGCACAAAAGGAGCCTCCCAGCACGACATACCACTCCTTTGTCTGATGCACCCTTGGCACCAATTGGCAAGTACCATACACGGATTGGCAAATCCGTTCACTACGATAGCAACCATTATAGTATTTGCTATAGATACGATAAGAACAAGAATACACAAAGAAGTATGCACATATACATTATACCTACATTTGAATTTATTCTGTATTATAATTTTTAGTTAATCAAGATGACGGATCCCTGGTTGGTGCAACCCCACGAGCATGCCAAGTTTGCAGAGCATTTTCGCAACTTAGGTCCCATCAACGGGACGCTCACTGGAGAACAGGCAAAGAGATTTATGTTACAAGTAAGTTATTTTTTTCTTTTCTCTTGAAATCTGCAATCAGTCAACCAGACTATAATCAGATGAGCTGGAAGATATAGGGCATTTTAAAAAGATTAAGGCCATAGACTTTTCCCCCCTAATTGCACAGCACATTAGCTCTTTTCAATCTTCAATTATGTTTGGCTACGACTTGAGTTGCCAGTTGTTTGTCCAGGGAAGTATTGCCACCTTACGTATTTTAGCCGCCAAGCAGTAATGGTCACATTACTGTGTTCCAGTTTTGAAGGGTAAGGGTGCTGGTGAAATTACAGGCACATGGGACTTTTCAACTTATGTCTCATGGTGACGGGCGCAGTGGCAATGCCCCTCAGATCTTTGCGATGTAAAGCTTCGAGTGGCACTGCAACTGTTATGGATAGGCGCTTAGCTTACCAACAGACGCACGACTTGTTAGTTCCGTCACTTGATATTATAAAAAAGAAAGTTGCAAGTTCATCAAAAAATTCAACGCCCACCACCACAAAAAATTATTGAAAACACGTATTTTTCAAAGAAAAATATTTATATAAATGATTCAAGTTTTTGTTTTTCAAATGCGGTAGTACCCCCTGGACAGCATCAACGCCCCCAATTCTTTCCGAGGCCCCTAGGACTCCAGCTGGGTAGGGACCACTTTGGGATACTATGAGCTAGAACGACAGGCGATAATTAATAAAATATTACGATAAAAATGTGACGACAGACAATCACAGCTTCAAACGATTCTGTCTGAACCGATAAACTGTCGTCACGACCTAGGAACTGGTAGACATGACAGTAGTTCAACGATCTTTTATGGGGAACTGTATACGTTTTTACAATAAGATTCCGGAGCATATATTAAGTTTATCATTTCCTAAGTTTAAAAACTACATTAAAAATATTTTGATCGAAAAATCATATTACAAACTTGAAGACTAGAAAGAAAGAAAGAAAGAAAATACGTTTATTTGTCTATACGTTTGTTTGACTACGTGTTAGATAAAGATGTATGGAAAGACAACAAGAGTCTAGATTCCACACAATTATGATTCAAAGTGTTATTCCATAGCATTTAAGTTTATTTGAAAAGAGCAATCCCTAGAGTTTCTTGCTCGTTCTTCTCAGGGAGGTCAGCGTGGTGAACGAGCAGTAGCTTATTGACGTTTTCAAGTGTAAATTTATTTTACCTATGGAATAAATAATCTTTGACTTTGACTTTGACTTTGATAAAATCGACTCATCTGTAGAACAAAGGGCTATGTGTAAGACTGCTTATTCTCAGAACATTGTACATTTCGTTCGTTGTTCTTCGCTGTGGGTATCAAACCGACTGTTGTTCGATTTTATATTTCCGAAACGAAATAAGATATAAAAATTCTGAAAACACCTATCGATTGGCCTTATTTTTAACCGACTTCAAAAAAAGGAAGAGGTTCTCAATTCGACTGTACGTTTTGTTTTTTTTGTATGTATGTTACGCGATAACTCCGGTATTTGTGAACCGATTTTCATGATTCTTTTTTTGTTGGAAAGAGGGTACCTCCATAGTGGTCCCATTTAATTTTGGCTGTTCACGCATGTAGATTCATTTTTATAAATAACGCCTAAATTTTATTATAAGGAGCAATTATTTTAATGGTTGATTTTGCTATTGTCCAATTCAAGGCGTTTTTTTCTCTCAATATACTTTGAGTAGTGAGAACCGATTTCCATTATATCCTGTGTCGATTCCCGTATAGTGGCGAACTAGGGGATGAATCCGGGTTTGCGCACTTTCCGGTAACCGATTTCAACAAAACTTGGTAATTATATGTAACTCCACGTACTTTTGAGGTCATTTTTGAGGGTATTTATCATATTTTTGCTGTATAATCAATACAGACTCTGTTCTTCGTATGAGTCGATTAATAATGAAAACGGGCCCTGAGGCTAGTATAGGAATAATCCTGGCATTTCAAGAAGGGCAATTTTTATTTCAGTCTCAATTGCCCCCCCCGATTTTGGGTCAGATCTGGACCCTGGCTGACACTAACGCTGATGGAAAACTTGACCTCAGGGAATTTTCTATTGCATGCAAGGTAAGTTTCTAACTTTACCATTTTTTTTATAACTCTGCACTAGGGAAACCCTGTATCACGGGTGCCATGGACACACATAGACAACCACAAATTTACTCCTAAGCTCGCGCGAGAAATATTTCGTAGTTACCGAATTACAATTTGTCTAAATATAAAAATGTGTATGGACAAAGGAGAAGGGATTACCTGCTCCCTGATACACTAAATATTACTATTGATTTAATAGCGTACCTTTGAAGGCTATTACCATTTTGGTGCTGATATTTTTTAAATGAAATATTTTTGCAATACCGAACATTGACTTACAAATAAATGGACGACGGGTCTAATACAAAAACCATGAAAAAAATGTCCCAAGTCAACCTATTTAAGCGTAGTGACATGTAAAGGAATATGAAAAAGCTAAAACGTTGAATTTAAATTGTAATGTCATCGCAGTACTGTCTAATTTTGCTTGCTTCGCTGTCAGTCAAACAAACGAAGATTAAAGCGTGAATGACGCTCTGTATACGATTTTAACGTCCTATAAGTTCGGACACTTTTTAGCACGGACCGGACGTCTATATAATTGTAAGTCAATGATACCGAAGCACAACAAGGTGGCATTATTTAATTGTATCAAAGATGAGAACATACGAATTATTAAACATTAAAATAAATTAAGTAAAAAAAAATTCGTACTGTTGAAATTATTGACGCTATGTATGTATGTTCATTATATATATTTGTACGTTAGATTATTTAAATTAAATATTTGTAAACCTGCAAACCCACATATATCCTGTTCATTCAAACACATCACCTCACACACAAATAATCACACTTCACCCACTTACACACACACACACTCACTCACTCACTCACTCACTCACTCACTCACTCACTCACTCACTCACTCACTCACTCACTCACTACTCGCACATTTTACTCCTTGATATCAATCATCATTTGTTAATTTTCAATTGTCTTTTCTTTGTCCTTTATTATTAATTAAGCTCGTATTATTTAAACCAATATCACACAATCTTAAATTTAGATATTGTTTAGAATAAGGGAGAGCGGGAATCCCTAGCACAAGTATAATTTTATTACTTAAAAGGGATTCTCGAGCCACAAAATTGTTAAGATTGTTTCTTGAAATAAAACATTTTTGATTTTTGATTTTGACTTTTCCTTGCAGAAAGGCAAAGATCTTTAGACCATGCAGCCTAGTCTTTTTTTATCTGATTTGAAAAAAAGGAGGAGGTTCTCAATTCGATTGTACGAGATTTTTTGTATATATAATTATTTGTGATTATTACTTTTTTGTTGGAAAGAGAATACCTCAGTAGTGGTCCCATTTAAATTTGAAGAAAATGTTCCACCTCTAAGGGTGTCAAAGGAGGGGATTAATAACTTAGGAGGTCGGTTTTTTAGTACTCTGTACTGATTGCCAGTCGTTGTCAGCGGGCCGCCAGAGCTCTACATTTTTTACCAAATTGTGAATTATATTTAAATATACTATTTAGCACTTACCTGATGTTATAATTGTCCGCTGGTTAGTTAACATTGTATATGTTTAATATTTATATTGTAACCATACTTTTATTAATATTATACATACACTGTTATTGTGTAATCAGAACACTCTGTTGCTTATTAATCTATGATATTATATTTTGTCGTTTGAAATTTTGCTTAGAGTTTCGCGATTATCAAATATTATAATAACACACAAATTAATCAAAAACCACAACATTACTTACCGAATCAATGTGAACAATTTAAAACTTTTTATCTAAACACATATCATAAACTCTCTATAATGTGTTCAAAAACATTATGACCAGCATGAAGGTAAACTGTTTTGTTAGAACAAATTTCTTATCTGTGAATATGTTATTACTGCTTCATAATACCTTCATAATAACTGCCTCCGTGGCCGAACGGTTACCACGCCGGACTGCCACGCAGAGGTCCCTGATTCGATTCCCGAGTCGGGAGAAATATTTGTATGGCCTACACTTATTTGTCTCGTGAGTTTGGGTGTAATTTGTGGTTTTCTATGTGTGTGTCCATGGCACCTGCGACACAGGGTTTTCCCTAGTGCGGGGTTATGTTGAGTGTGTGCGTTATTATTATAATAACATCGAATTCGATATTATTATTACATTCAAATGTCGAACATCTTTGTAAAACAAAACAATTTGATTCGACCTCAATTCTAATATCAGTCGAGATGAAGTTTTATTCGCAATGAAATGTCAATAGCAAACAATTTTGACAATTACACACGTTACTTGATATCGAACGATATGATACTTGTGACCGACTCTAGTTTGTCTATGAATTAAATAACAACTACGGTTGTGTGACATGCGTGAGAAAAGTTTTTATTTGCCGCCATTTCGCCAGTCGTAACATGCGGTTCCTGAACACATCACAGAGAGCTTATAATATGTGTGTAGATAAAGCAGCGTATGTAACTCGCTTGTCGGTTCATTTCATAAACCCACACTCGCATTTTAATGCTTTTCATTATGTAACAGTCACATATACTAACTATTAGTCAAATACAATACAATACAAAATGCTTAATTTCTCTCAAAAAGATTTACAAAATGCAGATTTGTTACATGTCATGTTAAGTATGAAGCACCTTAGTGAGAGCTGGAGTCTGTACTAGATTGGGGACCTGTGTTACAGATCACCAGGCTCACACCCTTTTGACAAGTTTATCAGAAAAGTAACACTAATAAAATTTTACAAAAATAATGAAAATTAAAGAGTAAAATAAAATTGATAGCTAATTAGAATATACAAACAAAAAAAAAAAAATGTCTGTGCGTGTGTGTTTGTGTGCGTGTACGTGTATGAGTGTATGTGTGTGTGTGTGTGTGTGTGTGTGTGTGTGTGTGTGTGTGTGTGTGAGTGTGAGTGAGTGTGAATGTGAGTGTGGTTGTGTGGGTGTGTGGGTGTGTGGGTGTGCGGGTGTGCGGGTGTGCGGGTGTGCGGGTGTGCGGGTGTGCGGGTGTGCGGGTGTGCGGGTGTGCGGGTGTGCGGGTGTGCGGGTGTGCGGGTGTGCGGGTGTGCGGGAGTGCGGGAGTGCGGGAGTGCGGAAGTGCGAGAGTGCGAGTGTGCGAGTGTGCGAGTGTGTGTGTGTGTGTGTGAGCGCGCGCGCGCGTTGTTGTGTATATATGTGTAATATAACTTATTTTAGTATAGTTAATAGTTTAATAGCTCGATATAAATTAATTTTCAAAGAGGATCGGCCTCTGCATCCATCATATTGAATGTTTGACAACCGACTAAATGAAGTGTTGTGCTGAAACTGCACATCAGTGAAACAGTGTATATGGAACGCCGCGTCTAGTACGCTAGTACATTGAATATGTTTTTCTGTGTAAATTTCATTTTTATACCGAATTTACTTGTGTTTGCAATTAATTATTATAAATGTTTTTACAGATAATCAATTTGAAACTACATGGCGTTGAAGTACCAAAAGTGTTGCCACCATCTTTACTTAATTCACTAAGCCCGTCAGGTATTGTTATACTATATTTATTATTAACAAACTCTTTAATAATAAAAAATTGCACTTTATAACTATATCGTTAAGGTACAATTTTAATTGACTAAGTACGTTTACTAAGTTCTCGTAGCGACATTATAATGTACTTGTATTCTATACTCTGGTCAACAAACAGAAACTAGATTTTTCGGGTTTTCTTCAGAGAGACTGCTTTTAACCGACTTCAAAAGGAGGAGGTTCTCAATTCGACTGTATTTTTTGTGTGTATGTTACGATATAACTCCGACACAAATGTGAACCGACCTCAGTATTGGTCCCATTTAAATTTGAAGAAAATGTTCCACCTCTAACAGTGGCAAATTAGGGGTTGAATCCGGTTTTGCGCACTTTCCGATACCCCGAACTTTTGAGGTCGATTTTTTTTATAAAAAAAATTATAATTATCTGTTACCACCAATCTCAATTTCGAATCCACAGGGCCGAAACAATTCCCTGCGGCCGTACCTGCCAAACCACCAATACCGCCTATGCCGTCTGTACCACAGCAGCCACTTATTGGCGGTCTACCCACACAAGCTGTACCACCACAAGCACAGGTAACCACACACTTATTGCTACTCTCTCTTCTGCTTTCATTGTATTTGTACGAATTTAAAGGTATTTCAGGTTTACAATTGCCCATCAATACGTGGTCTCGACTGCTTTATGCAGCCGAGACCACGACTGCATCAAGTTGATAACTACTTTACGCATTAAGTGCATGCAGTCGATCTCGGCTACATGAAGTCGGTTTCAACTGCATGCAGTTAATGCGTGAATGCGACTTCACGTATTAACTGCAAACATACAGCCGATCTGTTGGCAGTCTTATGGTTCGTGTCTAGTTTGTTATTACCCAATCGACATAAAAAACTTTTTCACTTCTCATGCTCTTAAAGTTCGTATTTATGCTGGGTGTAGGTTGCATAAAATAGGATTTTATGCTCTAGTACATAAATAGGATTTTATGCTCTAGTGCATAAAATAAAAAACCATCACGTTAAATATGTCTAATTGTTGTAATTTTACATTTAATTGAATAATCGTTTATTTGTAATATTGCTGTTTAATTTCCTCGCAATCGAAGTGAAAAGCAGAGTGTATAACTCGTTCATAAAACCCATTTTGCCCTCGACTTATCCACCTTCCTCTACTGCGGCTCGGGTGGATATACTCGTCTCAGGTAAAATGGCGCGTTTTATGCACTTGTTGTACAATCTACTATATGCTATAATTACAAAAGTTTTTTTTTCATTTCGATCCCCGGTAATATAAATTTTGGGTCTTTTATCAGGCCCCATTTCATTCGATCATTTATCTATATATTTCAAAGACTTGCACTATAAAAAACTTAAACGAACAGAGGTTGCAAATATTAAACGAATGTTAATAATAACATTATCATCCTGTTATTTGTAAATGTTATTTGTCATCAATACAATACAAAAACACACCAAAAACAAAAAAAGACATTTTTCAAAAGGCGGCCTTATTGCAATATCTCTTGTAATCCCGATGTTTTTCATTGCTGTAATCTATGCTATCTAAATAAAAAGGTTTACGATCACTGCCTCTTTGTTTACGTTTTTTTCTAATTTTAACAAAAAACGAAGTGTAGGTAAAATGTTTACTATTCATGTCGTTAATAAATAGACAATGTAAGTATGTCACGCTTAAATTTGTTTTCTTTGCTTACCAAGCAGCAACCACTGATTAGTGGTTTACCAACCCAGGTCGTACCACCGCTACCACAGGTATCTGTAGCTTTATTTCAATCTACTTTTATTATAAGGCAATAGGGACCCTGAATTAAAACCCCATTGATTGGGCTGCCTTATTTTGAAGACGGAGTAAAATGATATTTGCAGGGTTGCCAGTTTTCATAAAATTTTAAATACTCATGTAGTTGTTGTCGACATTTTTGTCGATAGATTGTGAAAGAAAGTAAAATTAGTGTAAAGTAAGATTAGTAAAATTAGTGTAAAACTTCAGTTAGCTTCTTATTAATTATAAAATTTGTTTATTCATGCTATCCGCACAGCAACCACTGATCGGTGGGTTGCCAACTCAACCTGTACCACCGCTACCTCAGGTATTGTCTAATTTTAATTCATAACGTATTTATTTTAATTTCGATATTTCACATAATCTCTACAGTTGCAACAAATATTCGGTATTCGGCTTAATCGGCCTAATAACGAATATTAAATCACTATTCGGCCGAATACCTAAACACAGGAGGAAGAAATAAGAAAATACAATAAATTATTACAATTAGTAACTTCTATTAGGTAAAAAAAGGTAACAAATTAAATTAACACTACCTACTTAATATGTAATTTTGTCATGAAATCATTATTATATAGACGCTAACAAAATCAACGTAGTACTTATTATTTGCAAGTGAAAATAAAATAAAGTTTTTGAAAGTTAAGCAAACTGAAGTAAAATAAACAATGACTTTCTTCGTTAAGATGCATTGACTTACAAATAAATGGACGACGGGTCTAATACAAAAACCACGAAAAAAATGTCCCAAGTCAACCTATTTAAACGTAGTGACATGTAAAGGAATATGAAAAAGCTAAAACGTTGAATTTAAATTGTAATGTCATCGCAGTACTGTCTAATTTTGCTTGGAACAAACGAAGACTAAAGCGTGAATGACGCTCTGTATACGATTTTAACGCCCTATAAGTTCGGACACTTTTTAGCGCGGACCCGACGTCCATATAATTGTAAGTCAATGTTAAGATGTCATAAATTTCAATTATAAACTTGAAAATAAAATTCCCTTTTTTGTTTCTATTTACAAAATCATGCATCATTACTGATTTAGTTTAACTTATATATATGTGTATGTATAGGTATCTTTGCTATAATGCGGTTTGCGCGCCAATTTTCGTAAAATCATTAATCAGGCCGTATGTTCGGCTATTCGGACTCGCTCCGGGCCGAATATTCGCTATTCGGCCTGAAGGCGAAATACTATTCGTTGCAACAATAATAATCTCGCTTTCATTACGTGAACGAATTTTTTCACATTTTAACATATTTCGAATCGTAGTAGTGCCGTGTGAATAACATTTTTTTTTTATTAATGCTAACCGTACAGCAACCACTGATTGGTGGGTTGCCACCTCAACCTGTACCACCGCTACCTCAGGTATTGTCTACGTTTAATTAATAATATATTTAAATTTAAAAACACAAATAGCCTAATGGTTTTTTTTACAATATCAAGTGACGGGACGGGCATGTCGTGACAACGACACCTGTCCATAACAGTTGCAGTGCCACTCAAAGCTTTTAAATCGCAAAGATCTTAGGGGCACTGCCACTGCGCCCGTCACCCTTAGAAATAAGTCGAGAAGTTCCATGATAAGTTGAGAAGTCCCATCTCCAACTTTGGAGAACTAAGTAAATGTCGCGAATTCGTTGTCGTTCTCCTACTAACCGCTAGATTGTAGCACATTGTCTTTTTTTCGTATTTCGTCAAATTACAACATAAAATCAAAACGTCGTAACTTGCAATAATAGGTATTGAAAGTTCAACGATATGCCAACAAGATAAAGTTTAATAGTTATTTTTGATACAAGTGCGGAAAGTTAGTCAATATTCACGAGTCACGAGGCATCAAGACTCGAGACAAGTGAAAATGACAAATCCGCATGTGTATCAAACGACGTTTTTTAATACATTTGCGAAAAAACTACATTGAAAGTAAAATAAAACAGTATTTAAAAAAGCTAATGAAAAAGGCGGGAATGTAAACGATGAAAAAAATTAGTACTTTTTTTGGCCGACTTTTTTCAATATGGCAACTGTTGCCAGTATTCAGCCACATTAAAATTACTATTTTATATTACTTTATTTTCTACATAATCGCTACTAAGGAGCATTTACTTCATAGGTGTAAAAATGCGGTCTCTCCATAGATATAGTATAGTAATGACGAATGACTTACGTCACAAAGCACATAAATATACCATCTCTTTAGTTCTATGTTTAAGACTTAAAACAACAGTAAATTAAAAAAAACTGGAAAAGTAAAAAGCACTAGTGCGAGAAATCCAACTTTCCGCACGATTTGTAGTGCGAAAAATACCACGTTTTGAGCAACTGTATTAAAAATTATAATATTAACAGTCCAGGATTTATTATTTCGTTTTAAATTTGAAACTACGACCTATACTACATATCATCATCACGCGCACGACTCGTTCGTTCCGTCATTTGATAGAATAAAAAAAAAGTACTTTTAGGTTTAATGATCGTGATAACGTCAATCATTAAATTACTACTCATTCATTATAAAGGGAACTAAATTTAAATTAATTCAATTTTGTATGAATCCACATAGCAACCACTGATTGGCGGTTTGCCACCTCAACCTATACCACCGCTACCACAGGTATTGTCTAATTTTAATTAATAACATTTTAACATCATCGAGTATATAACCATAAATAGAGACGAAATGTCATTTAATTTCCTTGAAAACTATTCTGCCAAATCATTACGGTGACAACTGCTCCGATTGGCCAGCCCGAATTCGAAATAATTGACGGGTGTCGCCAACTGTTTCACTTCAAATCGACCAGTTAACTTGAGCTTTGTTATGGACGAAAATTGCAAAATTACATATCGACCTCTTCTACGTAAAATATCGTATGTCGAAATTGCCAAGTTTACAGGGGAGCCTTTTACAGTTCTGAACTCACTGATATAAGCATAACACGTGACTTTAGCATTTCTCAGTTTTATTCATCTAAGCTCGTTACTCACATAGAGTATTATAAAATCCAAGATATCGGTTAGATGATCTATTAGATTATCACTCTGTGTGAGTAATGAGCTTTGCCGAATAAAACGGAGAACTTTAAACCGCTCCCCTGTAAACTTGGCAATTTCGACATACGATACTTTACGTAGGAGGAGGCGATATTTAATATTTAATTGCCGATGAAATGTGATTCCGTTTGTTTTGTAATTAGATGTTTTTCTGTTTTCCCCACACCACCGAATGGAACAGCCCCGCATTATTATCTTTATCACAAATGTTGTTGGAGTGTACGCAGACGTCCACAAAGGTCAGTTGTTGGCGCTATCTATATTTCGGTGCAAACGAGAGTTGATATTTACAAGTGACGTATCATTGACGAGTTACCAGGATAGTACGGCCCTTATTTCATCTCTACTTCTGGTTATACACTCGATGATAAACATAGTATATTCATTATGTATTCAAAATTAAACTGTATTTAATAAGTAATTAAATTACACTTGTAATCGTCATATTGAGTAAACTTGTGACAATGTGACCTCCTTACTTCGTCATCCCGCCTTTTTATCGCCTTTTCTCCGGCACCTGAGGCCCGATTCAGAACTCTTCGGTATTTTAACCGAATCATTCGATTGGATATCGTTCTCGAATCGAAGGGCGTTTTCCGAACTATTCAGAACATTCGAGCAAACGAGATATCGTTATCCAACAGAGTTGACGAAGTTAGTCGGTGAAATAGATTATAAGCAAAATGAAAATCCTTTTGTATACATTTTTAACACTTTAAAGGCCTAAAATCATTGACTTACAAATAAATGGACGACGGGTCTAATACGAAAACCACGAAAAAATGTCCCAAGTCAACCTATTTAATGGTAGTGACATGTAAAGGAATATGAAAAAGCTAAAACGTTAGATTTAAATTGTAATGTCATCGCAGTACTGTCTAATTTTGCTTGCTTCGCTGTCAGTCGAACAAATGAAGACTAGAGTGTGAATGACGCTCTGTATACGATTTTAACGCCCTATAAGTTCGGACACTTTTAGCGCGGACCCGACGTCCATATTATTGTAAGTCAATGCCTAAAATATAGGAATGTATTAAGTTTTGCATTATGATAAATTAATAAAATTGGACAAAATCGAGACTTTATTTAAAATATCAAGAGATTTCCATGTTACATTCGTGCTTTGCAAACAATAGGACGTTCGGTAACTATCATTAGATAACTATGTTCTGAATAACGTTCGTAGCCTTTGCCGGTCGAGACGTTCGAGTAATCGTACGGGTGTGACGTCATTTCGGTTCGGTTTCGAATACGACAGTTTGACGTTCAATTCGGTTGTTGTGAATAAAAATGAAAAGAAATCGCACGATATCTAATCGAATCGGTCGACAAAAGACTTATCTTACGGTTCTGAATCGACCTGCTGGCTGGAGTTCTTAGGTTTTCGCGATTGTTACACATAGGAAATGAAACTATTTTTCCGGATTTAAATCGCGTATATTTGTCTTTTCAAACAAACCTGTAAAGGACATGTAAAGGGCCCGAAACGTTTCCTATTTTCAATTGTTCTTTAGTTCCTTTGCCTCGCCCATTGACTTACAATTATGTGGACGTCGGGTCCGCGCTAAAAAGTGTCCGAACTTATAGGGCGTTAAAATCGTATACAGAGCGTCATGCACGCTTTAGTCTTCGTTTGTTCGACTGACAGCGAAGCAAGCAAAATTAGTAGACAGTACTGCGATGACATTACAATTTAAATTCAACGTTTTAGCTTTTTCATATTCCTTTACATGTCACTACGTTTAAATAGGTTGACTTGGGACATTTTTTTCGTGGTTTTTGTATTAGACCCGTCGTCCATTTATTTGTAAGTCAATGGTGGTAGTGATAAGTATAGCTCTTGCAGGTAGTCTCGATCTAAGATGTTTAAATGAAATATTGTAATTATAAATGTATTCAAATGTATATTTACAAAGAGTAGAGACTCATTCTTCTCAGGGGAATCTGCCTGACTAATGAGCGGTAGAGTTTAATCGGTATGACGATTTGAAGTGTAATTTGCTGAACTATGAAATAAAGATTATTTCACTTCGTTATTATGAAAATGAAACCACATGATCGTATTAAACGTGGATGATTTTTTTATCGCAAAACCACAAAGGAACCTGCTGGCGGGTTGCCGGCTCAACATGTACCACCTCAACCACAACCTACTGAGGTAACCAGCTAGTATTACGGATATTGTAGAATGCTCGTAGTTGTGAAAATTTGCAACGGAAGTATTGTAACGGAAACAGATATCAAAAGTAAAACTTAGGGCGCGTTCTTATTATGTCGTGTCGATAGGTAGTCGTGCAGTTTAAAGTGTCGTGGCTTGTATATTTAAATGAAGTTGTTCACATTTAGTACAACACGATTAACTGTCGTTCACGACTTTTTGACGTAACGATGACAGACGACAATGGGAAGAACTAGAACGACAGTCGTCGTCGGAAAATGTGACGACAGATAATCTCAGCTTCAAACGATTCTGTCGTGCAAGCAACAAGGCGGCTGTCGTGAACCGATAAATTGTCGCCACGATCTAGACGCGACAGTCAGTCAATGATAAATAAAACGTTACGTAATGGGAACGCGCCCTTAGCAGAAACGGATACGGAAGAGGATACCGGAAGTGTAATTACTATAATATCGAAATAGATCCAAACAGGACTTGTTTTTGGTTTCATAATAGCACGTAACGCAAAACAACCAAAAGACGCGCGCCCCAACAATCTCGAACATTGTAAAGTTCTGTTACAAAAGTTGCGGAAGCAGATGTGAGAAAGCGTGCAGAACTTACGCAGTCGCGGAAGCATCAGCATGAGCATGTTGCATCACTAATAATAATATCGATGGGGTATGACCTCCACTGAAATAATCTAAATAAAATTGTTTTACCTACAAACGGGTTAATTTCTCCCACCTTCACTAGCAACTTGAATCGATTTTCTGCATTCCGGTTTTGAAGGCTAAGGGTGCTGGTAAATGGTCTCGTTTCCATCGCACCTCCCGCCAAAGGAGTAGAGTCCATCCCCATATCTTAGATGCTTGCATTGTAAGACCACGCGGGCATCTCGTTCGTTTCTTCCTCGAATTTACAAGATGTGGAATGATGTTCCTCTTGAAGTATTGCCTTTACACTATGACATGGGGTTGTTCAAAAAGCGTGTTTACAGGCTCTCAAAGGCTGGCAACGCATAGGCTGCTCATCTGATGTCGCAAATGTCAATGGGCGACGATGACCACTTCCCATGAAGTGGCTCTGCTGCTCGTTTGCCTTCCTCTTAATGTAAAAAAAGTAGAAGCACACGAGACTTGTCAACTTTATAGGGTGACGGGCGCTGTAGCAGTTCTTCTCAGATTCAAAAGTTTGAGTAGCAGTGACACTGTTATGGATAGGCGTGTTTTTTCTTTCTTTTCGGATTTCTCTCGTGTTGCTCGAAACGACACGTACACTGTCGTCCGATAACTAAAGTGCGGGTAAGTGACAAAATATTTTTTTGAGATATCATAATAAACCATAACCCAGTTTTGGAATACTCAAATTGTTTAATGATACTTCAGCTATGCATCGTTAGGGCAAGTTCCGATAAGTCGAACACTTTAACTAATTTTAACTGTTTTTAACCGACTTCAAAAAAGGAGGAGGTTCTCAATTCGACTGTATGTTTTTTTTGTATGATGTTACGCGATAACTCCGGTATTTGTGAACCGATTTTCATGATTCTTTTTTTGTTGGAAAGAGGTTACCTCCATAATGGTCCCATTTAATTTTGAAGAAAATCATCCACCTCTAAGGGTGGCTGTTCACGCATGAAGATTCATTTTTATAAATAGCGCCTAAATTTTACTAAGGAGCAATTATTTTAATGGTTGATTTTGCTATTTCTCCAATTCAAGGCGTTTTTCTCTCAATATACTTTGAGTAGTGAGAACCGATTTTTATTATTTCCAATGTCAAGTCCTGTATAGTGGCGAATTTAAGGATATTTCAATAAAACTTAGCAAATAGACGTAATTCCACGTACTTTTGAGGTCGGTTTTTTTAGTACTCTGTACTGAGATTATTAAAAAAGAATTTTGTGCTCTATCTTTTGCTGTTTAAAATGGATATTTGACTATTTGCCGCATAGCCGCGTTTTAGTTGTGGATGGCAGTACAGTTCGCCGGTTCTTGAACGTGAGTAGATAACCGCGGCCGACTGTGCCATTGTCGGGGAAGACCGGTGTTGCCATTTCAAAATAGAATATTGCTCCACTGTCTGGAACCCAAGTTACCAGGTTCATTCAAATAGAATTGAAAGTATTCAAAAACGTTTCCTCTATAATTTACACAAGACACGTCTCTCTCACTTTAACATGTCCTCTTTGCAAAAGTGCCGAAAGGCCTATGATCTAATGTTTTTATTCAAAATTGTTCATGGTGTTATAGGCCCATCTGACATCCTTCAACGTTGACGTTTCTCGCCTGCAAAATCGGAAAACATTTTAGCTCCCTATTTGTAGAAGTAACCTCGGTCAACACTGTCCACTGTATCGCATGTGCTCTTCTTACAATGGTATCCGTTTTGATTTCGATATTTTCTCTGGTTCTGTGATCTCGTCTGGGAACTCAATTAGAAAGTGTCTATTATGTTAACTATACGACAGACTTTGTTGAGTTTTTTTAAAATAATTAAATTTTTATTGAATTGATATTAATTTTTTTTTTCAACCGGATCGAAGGAATTTTTTTTTAATTGTTGGATCTTTGTATTAATAATTATAACAAACTAGTGGAGTAATTTCACAAAAAAAAAATGAATATCAATTCAATAAAAATTTAATTAATACAGTGAATAGCGACATCTCTCGCCAGGACTGGTAGCTGTAAAGGTACTAACTGGGTGATAAATCTTTCATAGATTTCTCATAGATGGCGCTACGACTAAAAAGTCGTTGAGAAACCAAATACAAAGACACGACGCAAGCACATAGAAAAACTCGTAAGGTCCTTTGGTTCATTCCGTGGCTTAGTTGGTATAGCGTCTGCCACGGTATG